CTCCCTCAATCCCTCTCTATAATAATTATTATAATCTCTGTCTCTTTCTTTCTCTCACTCTTTCTCTCTCTTTTTTATCTGTCTGTCTCTATTGCTCCATGTCAGGGCGATAGGAAAAAGAAAGGCTAGTTTTATTCTAATCCTACCAACCTGCAACTGAAATTCTTTGTTCTCCTCCTTCTCCTCGATGTACATGTAGTGCAGGTGAATCCTTTGCATGCACATTTCCTCCGGGTTCCAGGCTCTTGTTCCGATGGTTATCCTGCAGCGACTTGTGCCCGGCGCGACTGTGCTTTGGCCCGAAATATTGAAGTCGAGAGACCACGGGGAGGCCATGACCTTCGGCAACGGCTCACGATCAAACTGATTTCCCACATGGCAGCCTAACATTACGCGCGCCACTTCCCGCCCCTGAGCAGCCGATGCCTTCGTCCATATGCTCAGAAGCAGTTCTTGCTCGCCGTCTTGTTTGCCTTCACCAAGCTGGATTCCAGCCTTGTCAAATGTAACTGTAGACCTCAGGGACACGGTATGGATTTTAGTTTTCTCGTCCTTGCAAACGATACACACCAACCTTCCTGTATGGAACATTGTGGAGAAAAGCAAAAAAGCAAAAAAAGAAAACCAGGCTTGGAGGAAATGAATGTGAAGAGCGGAGGAAACAATAATGCACGTGCTATTACAGGCTCAGCTTCACTTCACACATCCAACTTGCTTGTAATTGGAATCTCCTGTCTCAGATAAATTTGTCTCCGACCCTTAAAAATCCTATTATTGTCGCGTTGCAAGAATGTTCAGCCTTCAAATACAGCCTTTGTGGTATGATTTCACCTCAGACAATATCTTGTACATTGGCAGTACACAAGGGTGCAGCCATCTGTAACCGAGGTGTGTATGTACCATAGGACAGATCGTCTGAGTTTCAGGCCACTCTGGAAGTTTAGATGTGCTCGTTCGTTCTTGAGGAAAGGGGGGGGGAGAGAGGGGGGATGGTGATCCTGAAGAGCTCTATCCAAAACCTTCTAGTGGTCGCCGTGGAAGTCAGCATGCTCTAAGAACTCACACAATATTCACAAATGATCACCGTGAAAGTCAGCATGCACCAATAACCCACATACAGATTTTACAAGTGGTAATACTGGCGCACGTCGTGTAAGCCCCAGTACCTTTTGAAAGTTCTTTCAACGCGTTGTACACAGGCTGGAGGGTGTTGGACTGCTGAGAAGAAGGGACAGATAGTGCCAGGCGGTTGCTGTCGTCAATTAGAAGAATCGATGTGACTCTTCCCTTTTCGGTTACCTTTAGAGACTGGATCTCACTTGCGACATCATTGATACTCTGCACGCTGTAGATGCCCTCTATTGGCTCTTTCCATTCTACAGGAATACCATGATGCTTTGCGATGTACTCAGTGACGATCCTGATGTTCTCCAATGCCTGGAACAGAGTATATAATGAAGAGTATATCAGATAATGTAATGCTGCTTACAATCACACAAAACATAAAATCCATTCTTCTGAACTACGGGGTTGCACAGATTCAAATAATAAATAAACAATGATACCAAGATGTTACTGACACTCACACGGGCTCTAGATCGTTTTGTGTACCAGGTTACTGAAGCACAGTAAAACCTGGTTTAAGCGACCACCCCACGGTGCAAGCAAAAGCTGTCCTTAAAGCCAGGGGTCTTTAGAACCAGGTCCCACAGTGTCTGTGTAGAACTGTCGGTGCATGGAAAAACGGTCGTTACGAGCAGGTGGTAGCTGAACCCAGAGGTCGCTTACAGCAGGTTGTACTATAAAACTGTCCATGCACTTATCCCATTGGGGGAATGTGTCACAATACCCCATATCAGATCCTAGCCTATGTGCTGGTCTCATCCAGTGCATGTGTATGGAAGTAATGATATGGCAGTCGATGACAACCGCATGAACTCCCACCTGCGTTCAGATAGGTAATGCAAATGCACTTTTCATTCTGACAATCGCAAGATTTCCAACCGGTTCAGTATAGATCTGAGTGATCACGAAATACACCCAAGCAAGAATTCATTCAACCGGTTATCAACGGAAAATAACAACGCAGAGCCGTGGATTTGCGAGTTGCCTAGAATACACCCAACTCTGGTGTGAGGCTTTGGTAAGAGGAGGGTTGGAATTGAGGCTCAGATCTGGGGTACGTCCGTGACTTACCTTCTTTCCACTGTCTCCCTGCATGGATGAGCAGAAAATAACCGGTAGGCACAACTCCTTTTCGAACCCTTCCATATCCAACCTATGTGGAACAAAAACGGTCAAAATAATTAATTCGCTACTCTATTGTTCAATGCTCCAATATTTATACATGAAGATAAGCGCAGTGCGGACACATATGTGCGGTTATACAATGTTAAGTTACTGCGAGGGTAAATCACAGAGTGCTTCCACAACAAACATCGTGTGTTTGTGCGGCTTTTTAAGCAAACTCTGCCATGCTTTTTTGCAACCTAACACTTCCCCTTTGTAGATATACTTCTCTAAGGTTTGTCACCCTCAACTACCAGCCATTCTCAGAGAAAACAATCAAAACTGAGTGCAAACTAGACGTGTTCTGTACATACATTGTAAACAATTTTAGGAAACTTCACCTTCTCAACTCCAAAAAGGTCTCTTCACTGCGATTAAAATTAAAATTGAGATTCACATTACACCAAATTTTCCGGTTTGGCCCATCATAAGGGTACATTGTAAACGGTGAATTGTGATAGAACAGTGACAGGAGGTACATATTTTGTCAACTAAGGTGTACATGTATGTGTGGGCATAGTCGTACAACAATGTGTATGGCTGGAGTATCTGGTACGTGGAGTTAGGACAAAATAGTGGGAGATAGACCTGGAGTTTGAGTATGTTCCGGCACAATGTGTGCGAGGTGTTATCCCAAGTATAGTGATTTAAAACGTTCAACCTCTACTCGTGTTCCTCGAGTATATGGGGGGGGGGGCGCGGGGGTTAAATCTACGACAATTGTTTCAGAAGTAGATGTATATTTGGGGGACAGCAAAATTGAATATTATCATCAGTGAATCATGTTTTAGTTTAGTGAGACCAATCTGAGCCCATACAGTGTGAAATACTAGTCCTACTTTTCGGAATAGGTGCAACTACCGGCATGGCGTAATGAATTATTCATTCGCGGAGAAAACATAATTGATTTTGTGTTTGTCAATAAGAACAGAGTACGAAGGTAAGGAAATGCTTCTAGATTCTGAACAGCAACGTGTAACTTGCCTTGCGTGGAGATTCGCCTTTGCAATCAGCAGTGTTTCGTATCCACAGAGCGGGTTGTTCTTATCGTCCGACTTGCTGCGTAGAGCCACGATCACTGGAACACGGAATGGCCGCTGCGCTAGATCGCGTTTGCTTCACAGAATATCACCGTAAAGAGTCATTCTTTGCGCCTTCAGCTGACCGGTGTTGGCCAAAACTGCACGTACCGCACTACCAGAAACTTTATGATCTTGAATGGGAATGTTAGTGTCGAAGTAAAGGAAAGCCTAATCTTCTCTTACGCGTAGAATAATGGAGACGTTCACCTTAGGATGTTGACAGTTTCACGGAAAACTGTGCTTCGTGCTTCGTGCTGCATTTCCTGCTTCGTGCTGCATGTACGCCAGCGCTGGACTGTAGCTCATACTCTCCGCTGTGCCAGTTTCTATCAAAATGCACCGTCCTGGTTAGCCGTATGCAGGTATGAAGTTGCATGCAGAACGTGGATGGTGGTGGCTGTTCATGTCAGTACGGCTCAGGGAGAAATCCACAGCGGCGGCCGGATGATAGTGATTCAGGCATTGCGCGTTCCACTGCAACTGCTTTTTCCACTGTCAAACTCTACTACCTAGTTTGCTGTTTGACAGCACATGTCACTTGACGAGCCAGAACAGAGACTCCAGCCTACAGCACAACTCATAAAAATAGGGCTGCAACTGGTTTTTCTTACTGTCAAACCCGACTACCTAGTTTGCTGCTTGACAGCACGTGTCACTTGACGAGCCAGAACCGAAGCTCCAGCCTACACTACAGCACAACATAACAGGAGCCAGTACAATCGTCATGTACATGTACTAGTAAGCACTAGTCTCTACACACCAGTGCCAGAAGGCAGCAGCTGAATACTGAGTATCGAATACACATACGTCGCCCCTGAGCCGTACTGACCTGAACAGCAAATACCTACCACGTTGTGCATACAACAGCATACCTACATCAGTAGATCAGTACAATGTACATACCGGGAGTCATTGTAGACTGTACCTACACGAGTGGGCTACGTGCACTTGAATCAATGACATGACCGGCTTCCGAGGGAAACGATAATGCAGGCTATTCAGTGTTCCAAAAAATCTCGGTTCGCGTGAGTCTCGGCTAGTAGGGACCGGCGTATTCTGCTCGAAAAGATGGCAGATTCAGCTCGAAAAGCAGTGAAATTGGCAGAACCATACAAACCTTATGGCGGGCAATTCCTCGAATTCTGCTCCCTTTCTTTATCTACATACCAAACATGCATGAAACTTACCAGAAAAAGTACCGAATTCTGCCAATGCCAATTTTTCTGCCGGCAGAAAATTCCCATTCACTGCATCCATGGAGCGTTAACCTACTGTCAAAATATAATGCTTATATACTTGCGCAACGCATTCTACAGTGAAATCTACATTGTGTAGAGGGCCCTTTGTCGAAGGACCGTGAATTGTATACTTTATACATGTAGCAGAGAGTTTTTCGTTTCTTCCCGAGGTGCAGAACGTACTGAATGTCATAGACAAAGCTCTCTCTCTCTCTCTCTCTCTCTCTCTCTCTCTCTCTCTCTCTCTCTCTCTCTCTCTCTCTCTCTCTCTCTCTCTCTCTCTCTTTCTCTCTCTCCATCTGTCTCTCTCTCTCTCACACACTCTTCGTAGCTCTTTCCGGCTTTAAAAATCGCTTCTATAAAATTCGGAACCATTGCCAGTTTGGCCTTGCGAGGTTAAGGTGGCAGTCTACCCATAAATTTCAACCCTTGTTTATCCACCCTGCAATCTTCATGTACATATACATGTGGAAGGATCAAATTATATGAATGAATTGAGAGATTTGTATAGGGTCAATTAAGATTCACATCCACGTTCATTGCAACCTAGAAGAATACAGCATAAATTCAAATGGTTGACAATGACAATGGACACAGAAAACGGTATAATTTAAAATGTTCTTGTATCTAGCAACTCTGAGGGATAAAAGAATGCTTTGGTGGACCAAAACCTGCAGTACAATTGAAAAACACAGTTCAGGGGACAGCTGCACGTTGAAAGAACGAGTGCCCTTCACTCAGCGTCATTTCCCCATTCACCCAGGCCATGATGCTGTCACGAACCGTCCTCGGAACTGTCCTGCGACTTTCCACCACTTCCCAGAATGGCCTGGTGCCTCTGGACGCACGGAGAGCTGCCAAATTAAACAGTCCTCTGTCAGTGAAGTACTTGACGATGACGTGAAGCTCCTGCTTCAGATCAGCTTCTTGTCCGGAGTACAGTTGGAGAATGAAGGTGCGAACTGTGATAGATTCCTCTCCCACTGTGTGGAGTCAAGGTGCAAATGAAGAAAAAGAAGATTCCAGCCGAAAATGCACCAAAGGTCCAAAACCATAGAGCGCTATGTACCAACAGTTAGTCTAGAGGCTACCCTGCTCCCTACCCGCCCCCCTCCTCCTCCTCCCCCCTCCTCCCCCCTCCTCCTCAACCTCCTCCTCCTCCCCCCTCCCTCCTCCCCCCCTCCTCCACCACCCTCTCGTCCTCTACCAGCCCCGCTCCTGCTCGGCATTACTCTCCCTCCTAGCACTGGAGACATTATATTCTGAATGATACTCAATCTGCGGACAGCATGCTGTTTCGTTCTTTTTGAACTCATCAGCGCAGCACAGAGGAAATGAGGCCGAACCTGATAGCAATGGAAATCAAAATTTCCAATCAGGCCCGAACGTACCTTGCCAGAGTGCTCAAACTGACAAGTCAGTGAGCTCTGCATAACGCAAACAGCAAAGGCACTACCCCACGCAAGAGTGCTCAACTGCTACAAGAGCAGGAGCGAAATACTCAATCTGCGGACAGCATGCTGTTTCGTTCTTTTTCTTCTTTTATTCTGAATGATAGAAAACCTGTACCTAAAACAAACAAAAAACTCTCACTGCCACTGGCACTCATTTAGGTCACTACCAGTATGAACTGGAAGAGAGAACATTTGGGACAGGTTTTTGTGTAAATGGCTGTGGGGATGGGAAATGGGGGGGGGGGGACGACGGTAAAGATATCAAGCGGATGCCATTCAACTGTGCAGATTGGTCGGGTCAACGTGATTTTTTCCGCCGCGTTCCCGAAACGTAGAGCAGGCCATCTTTACTAGTACAATTACTAATAATTAGGCTTCCGTTCTCCCTGAAATTCATCGTGTTAGCTCACCTCGTACCTCATAATGGTGCCCCTCCCAGTTGAGGTACTGCCTAAGAATGAACGAGGCCTGATCAGAATTCACTTACCATTCTCATCATGTGGGCTTAGTCGGCGGCCTCTTGTTCCCTTCACTCTGCGTAGCCGCTCTTTCACAGCTTCCTGGCAGAGCATGTAGATCTCATCCAGGATCGAAACCGCTGTCCATTCAGCACCTTGATTTCGAAGCAGCGGCGTGCAGCCTCCATGGCCAGTGACTGTATCACAAACATACAATAGACAACAGTGGCCAATCGTCACATTCAGACAACGTGGTTGGCCTGACGGAAAGTTCGGGTTTTTCATTTATTTCCTGTTTGATAGATGAAGATGTAGTTTTTTTGTTGATTTCTGTGTGGGCTCAGTATCTGGAGAGATGATATTCCGATGCGAAAACGTTTCTTCAACATTGCATCGGCCATACACTTGCACGGTCAAACTTTCGGAATGTATAGTGTACATGTTAAAGATGCATAACATGGCTTCTCGCCTTTGATGATAAGCCCATTGTGCAATGACGTAGTTTGTACCACGAACACCCCACACAGCCACCTGGGCATGGTCGTCTGGGGTGTTGAACAGTTCATTTCCTGATCCCAGCGTACTCACATGCATTACTCATACCTTCCATATTTGGCAATGTGCAATGGGCTTATTGAGGGTTTTCTTTCAATAGGTTAAATCTGGAAAATAACTGACCATCACGGTGAACGACATCCGCAGGGCTGAGTTGCTCGGTCGTCTTCCAGTTTGGAACCACTGGCTCGCAGCAATCAATGAGAAAGACAGGATCTGTCGAATCACTGCTGCCATCGATGAGACTCCGTGTAAGTTGCCTTAGATCTTGTTCACTGTGGCCGTTCGCTACAGCACGTGATGTGTGCGTGAGAATCCACACTCTCTTCGTTGAAAAGCCAGCATCACTAGCTTCTTGTGGGAGCACGTTTGCTAACAACAGAAACATACAATCAACAAATACACAAATACATATATCTATTCTGCAGTCATCATAGCAGTTAAAGTCAGGATTGTGCTCACAACATGAGCGATGAAGAAGTTGATCCTCCTCTTGTTGTCCTCTATTCCTTACTTATTCAACATTTAACGGGGTAGGAGTGAGAGTGATCATACAATGTGAAGTCGAACTCAAAGCAGGGGATTTTGTCGAGAAGGTTTCGGAAGTGTAAATTAAAGTGCTCAACCAATGCCCGAGGACAGTTGTCCGTGCCTGGAGAGCACCATGTATGTGGTGCTCTTCAGGCACAATCTTCCCCAGCCTACTGAAGCTCAAATGATGAGGGGTGACATGAACACTGGAAATACATTACTTGAAAACCGATCTGCCTAGAGGGCATCCACATTCAATCACAATGTTATCGTTGAGATCTCAAGTTTTATGGATGCTACTCACGGTTGTACAGGGTTCGTAAGTATGAGCAGAACCTCAGGCACAGCTCCCTCATCTTCGGTTTCTGGCGTGGGTCTAATAGATCTTCGCCGCTGATCACAAAGGCCACAACCTGACAGCCGTCCAGTACAGTGTCGTAGTTGATGGGTTTCTGCTGAGGGACATGGCTTCTGTGCTCTAGCGAAACCTCTTCACCATCCTGAATGCGCCGATGGAACATGTTCAGGAGGACGTTGTTTGCTGCGTATGGATCATGGAGCGCAACGGACGGTGTATCTATCACCTTCAGGTAGGAATTGATGCGATGATGGGTCACGTGACGAGTTGTACATCCAGCTAGTGTGCTGCGTGACATGAAGCGATGTGTAATGGCCTTCTCCATCAGCTCCACGAGCGCTGTTTTGCCTGACGAATCCAAGCCGAGAAGAAGTGCGTGCAGTGACTCCATGCCGGGACCGAAGTAATCCAACATCTCTCGACACAGCTCCTGCTCTGCACCGACCGTTAGCCGTTTCCTCACAGCTGATATTTTGCTTTTCAAATCCGTGTCGGCGGCCACCCTTCGCCGGTTTGGTCTTGTCAACTCGCTTTCTATTTGATCGTCTGTTTTGTCCAGCGTCTCTATCCGATGCTGCGGTTCTTGGATAGGAACTTTCGTCGTTCCAGTTTCCACATGTGCTGGAGTCAAGAGCAGATAACAAAAACAAACAACATCCGGCTAGTTTAGTCACCAACTTCTTCACAATGAGCAACAGGCAGAAGGCAAAAAGGTACCACAGTGCCCAATTTTCGTCGTTAATATTCCATTGAAGCAGCAGAATGATTCACTGCATGCAGTATTGGGGGGGGGGGCAGATTTACATCTTTGATGATATCAAATAATTGTAGAAAAGAACAAGGACCAAGGAACTCCAAGTTACGCTATAATGTCCACAAATACCACCAGTTACTAAACAAGCAGCTCATGCGATAACATTGCACGACACTTAACGACAGCACTGACGTTCTACAACTACTCTAAAGTCGCGGATGAAAGCTGGATGTATAAGCACATAAGCCGCTTTCTGCATCAGGCTTTAACGCAAACAAGGCTTGTATGCAAACCATGCTTATATGCACCACTGATATTTTTTTGCCAGGCTTGTATGCACGTTTCTACGCGCGACAAGCGTAGATCTACCACTGACTACCGGTATGGCGGCAGTTTTACTATGCACCGTACATAACGTATGCACTTTTGACCAACCCGATCCGCGCTTGCATAGAAGCCAGGCTTCTACGCGCGACAGGCTTATATGCATTTGACCCGTTTGATTTTCAGGTTTCTATCAGCGATGTGATCATATGCAAACCCGGCTTTTATCCGCGACTTTACGGTAACTGGTTAATAGCTCTTTCATTTATTTGTTTAGCCAAGTATGAGCTGTTTTAATCATCTACTTGGGGCGGGGTATTATAGATACTTACGAGTCTGTCGTGACTTCGCCCAGTTCAGGTCGGAATCTGGTTGAAACTCTCTGATTGTATCGGCAGATCCTGGCCCAAGCCCTATAAGCAGGCACACCCAGAAGTAGAACGGGATACCAGTTGAAGAACAGCACAGATCATGTCTCTACACTTCGAAAACGTGCACTATTTACATGTATCTGTATGGTCCAGCAGTACGAGAGAGCTTGGAAGCTCAGGGCCCTACGCTATGCTTTTTTGCCTACCTCATCGTACATGTTATTAAACTGATGGAAATGTTTTTTTTTCCGTTGATTCGCCACATCATTGTATTGCAAAAACGTTTCGATCAGTTTAAATATGAGTTAGGGCCTGGTCAGACTGCGGCAAAATCGAAATAATCCTAGGATTATAAGGGCCTGGTCAGACTGCGGCAACTTTTGGTTGCCTGACGAAAAAAGAATAGCGTCCAGAATTTGAATCGCGATCACACTACACATGTGGGGAGAATGAAAATTCAAACTTCATTTCGAGCGTCAAGTGGTAATCTCCACTAACGACGTCAAATTCCTTCACCTTGGGATCGCCAACACCTTCAGTGCAATCCTTGCAACCATCCTTATGAGTTTTGTTGTTGTCCGTGGCCAATTAGCTCCTCGATATCGAGATGAAAAAATCAGTGATTATCAGCGTCAATGGCGTATCAGCGTCAAATCCTGTTTGGAGGGGAAAAGCGTGGCCCGTTCTTGCTTTTTTTTTGGAGCGTCAACTCTCGCTTTTGCCGCTCTGGCGGCAAGTTACTATGGAGATTCGGATTATAATCCTAGGATTATTTCGATTTTGCCGCAGTCTGACCAGGCCCTAAGCCGAATCTCCATAGTAACTTGGTGGCAGAGCGGCAAAAGCGAGAGTTGACGCTCCAAAAAAAAAGCAAGAACGGACCACGCTTTTCCGCTCCAAACAGGATTTGACGCTGATACGCCATTGACGCTGATAATCACTGATTTTTTCATCTCGATATCGAGGAGCTAATTGGCCACGGACAACAAGAAAACTCATAAGGATGGTTGCAAGGATTGCACAGAAGGTGTTGGCGATCCCCAAGGTGAAGGAATTTTACGTTGTTCGTGGAGATTACCACTTGACGCTCGAAATGAAGTTTGAATTTTCACTCTCCCCACATGTGTAGTGTGATGGCGATTCAAATTCTGGACGCTGTTCCTTTTTCGTCAGGCAACCAAAATTTGCCGCAGTCTGACCAGGCCCTTAGGCAAAAGTATTTGTAGAATTTATTTCGGATTGTTATTTTTCTCTAATTTCATCCACTTTTGGTTTGCTCCTTCTTTTCTTTTTGATCTTCTTATACTGTACATCAACACATTTTGGCCGATGAGAAACTTTGGCCGATCTCGAAACGAAACTTTTCGCCGTCATTAAACTTTGGCCAATTGGAGTTTTCCAAAAAAAATCGATCGGTATTTTTTGCTCTCACATGCATCGCACAGTTTCCATGTGCGCAGCTGCAGTAGCATGACGCGAATCAGCACGATTAAGCCTCCTATTAGGCCTTGGCGGATAATGCCGGCAGAAAAATTGGCAGAATTCGGTACTTTTTCTGGTAAGTTTCATGCATGTTTGGTATGAGGATAAAGAAATGGAGCAGAATTCGAGGAATTGCCCGCCATAAGGTTTGTATGGTTCTGCCAATTTCGGTGCAAAAAAAGCAGAATCTGCCACCTTTTCGAGCATTATCCGCCAAGGCCTACTTCCTATGCTCATTTCTTGCATTTGTATCGTCCGACGTTTCCTGGGACCGGCGCTGACTCTGTCAATCACGGGCGATCTGGAGTCGACGAGATGTCTGTCCTGACGTTTCCTGTGACCGGCGCTGACTCTGCCGATCACGGGCGTTCTGGACTCGACGGGATGTCTGTCCTGACGTTTTCTGTGACCGGCGCTGACTCTGCCGATCACGGGCGATCTGGAGTCGACGAGATGTCTGTCCTGACGTTTCCTGTGACCGGCGCTGACTCTGCCGATCACGGGCGATCTGGACTCGACGGGATGTCTGTCCTGACGTTTCCTGTCACCGGCGCTGACTCTGCCAATCACGGGCGTTCTGGAGTCGACGGGATCTCTCTTCCGACGTTTCCTGTGACCGGCACTGAATCGCCCGTTCACGCTTATTTTGGAGACGACGGGATTTCTCTTCCAAAGTATGTTTTTGCTGACGCATCCTATCACCTATTCGGCGTCTATTCTAATTTAATTTCCTCCTCGTCTCCCTATTTCTTTCCAAATCTCCCTCTATATCAGGGAGTCGTATACATAATACGACGAATATTGGTACGGTACGGGACAGATACGGGAGTCAGCAAATATTGTGGACAGCTGTTATGTACAATCCTGTCGAGCCTTTGTGGTCACAGATACGGGACAGATACGGGAAAGATACGGGATAGCTCCAGGCGTGACACGAACACACAAACAAACACCAAATTAAAGCTGTGTGGACCCTGGCTAGCGCCAGACGTTACTGAAGTAACGTCTTCTGCATAGCTACGGGAATTAATATTAATTTTGTCAGGCACTGCCACTGATTGCGCGGCGTGAAGCATGTGAATTTGTCTTGTCAACAATCCCATGTAAATGCATCGTGGCTGGTGCGCTGCGTAACCGACAATGGTAGATTGCAAAAGCGAACAATAAGAACAAGACTTGGCTTTGACGAATACTGACAAAGTTTAATGTTCTGACGATTCAATGCCTTCTTCGAAATGATGATGGTTAATGAGGCAGCGCTCGATTATTGAATGGAATTTTATGCACAAGGCTGGTGTAGGACGTTTGGAGGAGAGCAACAAGTCTATAAATTTACATATAGCCGAACTGTGAAACGCATTGGCGCCAATAGGTGCTTGAATTGCACACTAAAACACAAGAAGGGAGGATTTTCCGCTTTGACATCCAAAGCCCCTTAACATTCCAACCTGGTGACTAGCATTGTTGCTAGAAATATCAGAATACTCCTTTGTCGCCCTGAAAACGCAGCTTCTCTGTAGATTTGTATCCCTGGTGATATTTGGGCCAGAAGAGCATTATAAGTGGTGCTCCTCAGCACAATCTTCCTCAACCTAATCAAATTCCCCGAAACACGGTGTAGTGAGCAGGGAGTGGTGCTTTCTTGCAGATTTGGTGAGTGGACGGTTCGATGGACTTCTTCTGTGCAGTCGTGAATTAAGTGTCAAATCAAGTCGACAGAATAGCGTGAACTTCAGTGTGGGGCTCAAACCATTTTCTAACAATCATTGCCAAAGTCACAATCACTATTTCGTGTTGTTCTGCCCAGCGTGGGCTTGCGACTAGCTAGTTTGGAGGTGACAGCATTGCCAAAGACGGAGGATCCTGGACGTCTGCTCGCATTGCTAACATTTTGCATAGCTCGATATTGCAGCACAGATATAGTCTAGGAGCGTGTAGATACGTAAATGATCATGGAAAAGAAAAGAGTTTTGACCGTATCTGTGCTGTATTATACTGATAGCCGTGAATTCTGCGGCAGAATATCAGAAATTCCGTGCAGAATTCTGCGGCTGAAAACAGTAAATTCTGCGGAAATTGTGCAATCCGCGGAATCTCGGAATTCACGGGGGACAGATTATAGAGCCATGTGAAATGGTAGCATTTAGTGATTGGACGAATGCAGTTTATCACCTGCTAATTTTCCAAGAACCCTGGGCCCCATGCTGATTTTAAAATATTATTATAACTTGTCAGTGTACAACTTGCCTAGTTTCTTGAATCCATAATACTCCGTCTAAACTTTAATTGCCATAATTATCGTGAAAAGAAGGACAAAATGCTACGAGTTATGACTAACTGTCCACCAACGTAACCTGATAACTCATAACTCATAACTCGTACCATTTTGTCCTTCTTCTTTTCACAATTATTTAATTGGCTCACCATCCGAGTTACATTTTGCCATAATTATCAATTACAATATCATGATGATCTTCTCTTATGAGCCTTAGATAGGCGAAACAGCTGTTAGAAGGAAATGTTTTACCCGTAACCCCTTCGTTGCTTGAAATTACTGGTGTGAGTAATGGCTACCTAGGGTTGCAATGGTCGGCTTTAGAGTGGAGAGAGGAGGAGAGTTAGTTTGTTGTATTATTCAACAGCCCAATGGTACCGTTGACAGTTTTATTGATATTCAGACTGACTAATTGAAATATTCATCAGATTAGATAGAGAGGGAAGCAGCAGCTTTCGGCTGTGTACAGATCTTTCATAAGCGAGACGTATTTCCATGATGAATGTCTCTAGAAACTTGTTAGTAAACTTTATTATCCATCTTCTATTTTTGTTCATTTCTACGTCCAATGTGCGCTTTGCTGATCGCCATAATAAAGATATTTCATCAATGACCACACCAAAACTGCTATGCTGGTGCTATGCTGTAGCAACGTCGTGTGCGGGCGGCTGGGAAGCACAGCTCTGGTGTGGTGGCTGATGAAATTCATTTAGTCATCAGATTCAACGAGATGATGCAGAGGTTGCGTGTTTCAACTCGACGGGTTTCAGTAATTTACTTACCTATCTAGGCGCAGCTGCTCTGTGACCCACTTGTCCTTGTCCTGCGCTGGGTCTCGAATGCTGTGGAACCCGACCATATTGATTTCTGACCGACGCAGCACTTCCAGAAACACGCTCGCCTTGTTGATCAGCCATCAGTTTTGCAACAAAATAATCTTCATATAGGAGCTAAACTACGCAAATAGAGCTCCACAATCTTTCTTGTGGAATAAAATAATCTTTCCCTATATTATCTTCTCACGGCACCAGGCTGTACGTTTTGTATTAGAAAGGCCCAGGCAATAGAAACAAACGCCGACCAGGAAATTCTTTCCACAAGTTTCAGTGTCAGAAGCAAGCTGTTGAGCTCAGTCCAACCGCTTTGATGCCGATACGTTCACCGTTGCACATAAAACCACTTGCCACTTACGAACATGTTAGCGCTGCCAGCTGGCCGACACGAGCACCTCTGCTCAAACGCTAGGCATACTGCGCATCACCCTCTTTAGCACGCACGTCCCCTAACCCTAGCAGTACATAGAGTATCATCGAGTGCCTGCAGGGATGTCGATACGTTCATTGATTCCCGCGCGCCATGCGCGAAGTATAGCTCCAGGATATCGAAACACGGAAAGCAACTAGGGAGAAAGCAAACTTTTCCGCTCCATATTTTCATCATCTTCTGTTTCTTAGCAGTCGTCTCCTCTGAAGGGGGCTCTTCGAGATGGGATTCGGACAATCGGTAAGCATGAAAAGGATGTTACGCTTGAGCTCACGCTGGAGAAAATTAATAATGCTTTATCAAAAGATGCCATTGTCTCTCTGTACGCTGAACGTGTAGTATCTTACGAAAGAGGTAACGTTTGACGCCGCAAAGTTCAAACAATGTCGAGATGAACTGGTACAAGGAAAAGAAAAAGAGCTGGTTGCTGAGATGGAAAAATGGGTAAGTTCAAAGTTGTTGTTCCACTAATGCAATGGTACAGTTTTAAACGGTCCACAACCTGGCGGAGCTTTGTGTTCATGGGAATTATCCGGCATAATGTTTTGCTTGAACACAAACCTTGTTCCTGATGTAGATTAGCCGAAATTCAAATTGCTTGCTCCAGGCAATTGGCCAGAGTAAAGCTGTTATGTTTCACCCTTTTCCGTATGAAAATATGAAACTTCTATAGGCTGCTAACCTGTGTAAATCTTTTGTAAATGAGGTATCTGATTGCGAAAACGGAGTGAAGTGTGTCTTTTTGAGTTTCATGATGCTTCGATAGTCTACTTGCTGAGTGGGATAGTTTTTTTGTACTTCGCTATGCAGAGCTCAATGACGTCACTTGTCAGTTTGAGCACTTCGACATGCTACATTCGGCCCTGGCTCAAATCTGGCTTTGGAGAAAAACATGTATTGCTATCATGTTCGGCATCATTTTTTCTGTGCTGCGCTGGCGCATGGCGAGTTCACAACGGACAGTTCTGTCCGCAGACTGAGTAGCGACATTTTTCTTTCTTTTCCGTTATCCAAAGACAACTTTAAATGGCGAACATGAGATGCAGCAAGGGAAGCGTGCACAACATGAATGAGTTATTGAGGTTGTTTTCACCTGACATGGTCGGTCTACAGTGAAAATATGAAACGGTAAAAAAAAATGAAAATGTACTTTCCAGAACTGTGGTCCGTTCAAGGTCTGCACATGTCCGGGAGGATGGGATTCGAATTTTCTACAATACAGTGAAACCTGTCTAAGACGACCACTCAAGGGACCTTGAAAACGTGGTCTCTGTTACCAGGTGGTCTCCTTATCCAGGGTCATTTGAATGGAAATATCGTCCCCTGGTCCTGGTATCAGTGGTCTTAAATGACAGGTGTTCACCTTGAGAAGCGGTGCGTTCGCATCTATCCTCCAACTGCGCATCCTGGAGCTGCTTTTATATTCTTCCAATCTGAGGGCTCCACGGAAGAAGACGGTGACCAGGCATGATGACTTTGCACATCTGTCGCTATGCTCCTTCACGAGACCTGTTTCTATTTTTATTTCTTTATTGAGGGATCAGTGTTCCTACATTTGGCCGTCTGAGTAACTCAATAATATTGTAACTCATTATGTGTGGGTTGTGTGTGTGTGTGTGTGTGTGTGTGTCGTTTTGCAGTTCGATGAAACAATGGGGATGTACAAGCAGTACTGCCTACGACATAGGCCTAACCGCCAAACGCGTGAATTGTTTACAGGTCTCAGCACCATGGTGGAGTTTGGCAAACTTCGCATCTTGTTAATTGGTCGCGCTCATGTCGGAAAGAGTGCTACAATCAACAAATTCCTGGAGATATTCGGACAGCCAGAGACGCAACAGGTTAATCTGCCACATTCTTGCATTCACCACCAATTCTTGACATCTTGGCCGAGTGTTGTCCTGGAAATCTGGTCTCGAAGTAGAATACCAGGCTGGCTTGAAGAAAGTGTATATCCGCCTTGAGCATGCTATTGCCGCTACAATATCAATTTATATTTCTGCTGCAGCAGAATTACACCTTATATAACATCGTTCCAAAAAGAAGATAATGATGGCAATTAGTGTGAAGTAACTACAAGAGAGTTGAACCGAAAACAGAATTATGTAAGACCTTATACCTGTCGTGCACCGCATCAAAATAGTGTGTCAAATAATGAAGTCAGAAATTAATTTAAAAAAACTACTTTGAAACTCGGATGTTGAGCCATAAATAAATGTAGAAAGGAAAAGGACATAAGGATACGAGTTAAGAGTAACTCTCCATCACTGTAACTGGATACTATAGCTACTTTGAGGTAAATTTTAATCAGGCTTGCCGATAGGGAAGTACTGTATGCAGTTTGTAGGCCCCTCTTGTTGCATGCAAGTGTGAAATGTTCTGTACTCGTAGAGGGCACCCAGAGCAGCAAGGAGTCGACAGGCCAGTTACTTACCAAAGGGGGATTTGCGAGCCTGCTGTGAAGGAAACCACACACACTCATAAAACTAATGTCATACAGAACTGGATTCATGTAAATGACTCCGACTTGGCTGTGATAATAGCGTGTTGAAAACCGTAAAAAGCATTCTTTAAATTGTACTGCGCACCCTCATCTACGATTTTAATGCTGGTGAGGAATGCCAGTCTACAATTAACAGTGTGGTTATAAGATCACCCGAAACCTCGTTATATAGAATAACAAACATTTGATTGACCCCAACCGGTAGATTTTGACTGGGGTATTGTTTGGTTTTTGGCAAATGCCTTGCAGGAGTATGATTCTGGAGAAGGTGACAAGCGTGTAACGGATGTACTGCTGGAAGCGGCCGACATTGCTGGAGAAGGAGGAGTTTTCTTGAGATCTCCCCAGGGCCAGGGTGATGACTATCGCATGAATGCTACCAAGGTCCGCGCTCTCATCACCAATCAGCTGCGCCACGGTGATATCTATGAACGAGAAATCAGGCCAACTGCTGATAACTACACGCCTGATGAATGCCATGCTGTCCTGCACATCATCCGGGCCGACCACGTAATTATCACGGATATGCTAGACGAGGAGCTGGATGAATTGAGGTGCACCCAAGATGTCCTGCGTGAACTTGGTACGTGCGGGCATGCTTAATTTCAAACACCCTTATGCGTGTTTTGCATGCAGTGGGATTTAATTACATGTAGTTCCATTCCTGTTTACGCTATTGGCATACAACGTATAGTCTTTCGTATTGTGAATATTACCCTTATGGACACAAATTGGGATAAGAAGTAGTTCGGCAGTTCGGGCGTTCCCTTCCTTTTTGTCCATGTGGGTCCATCTTATCAGACTTCTATGTAATGAATGATGAAATGGAGGAGAGTGTGTGTGTGATTGGGGGGGGGGGGCCTAGGACAAATACCAGTCTTGACTTGCTTCTTGTACAGTACGAGGGCATTATGTGTTAGGTGTATAACGAACTTCGGCTATAAGGAACTAATCATCCTCCACAATGGTGGCTGTTATATCAGGGGTCGACTGTGCATATTCACATCAAGGGCATGCACGCACGTGCACAAACTGCATTGCTCTTGTCCATTATGCAAGCTTCATGTCAGTCCTGACCATTCACAGAATTAAAAAGAACCAAAAAATTGCCCAAAAATGGTTATATTCCATCCAACAGATTCAGTTGTCAGAGTGGTCGCTGAACCGCGTCAGACTAAATGTTTTGCTTGGTCCTAATGTAGTTTACATCAAATTTGACATATATGTGCTTTGTCCTTTAGGTGTTGTTCCTGTGACGATAATCACGAGGTCTGGAGAGGAAGAGTACACGGATAGTGACATGGAACTCCGGCGGCAGGTAGCAGCACGTCTGATAGGCTCGCCATTGGAGTACACGTTCACCATCGACAACACTAAGCCCGAAGATGATCCGATTCGCCTGGAGAGGTTGCGCCTGACGCTGCTGCTGGCGTTACGGGCTAGTGTGATCCTAGCCGAACAGAGACTCCACCGCAAGGAGCTGCAGAGACGTCGAATTGCCCGACCACAGCCATCTGAGGACGGTACGTGACATTATTCACAAGTTCGTTTGTCCTGTCCCATTGACATTTTAGTTTGGGGTACACCTGTACATTTTTTATATTTTTTCTACATCTACTTGTAAGTTTCTTAGTTTCTCAAGTTGCCATGGATGTCTGTGAGGCAAAAATCATGAGTCATCGAGCGGCATAATTATGTGCATTTTGCATTGTGTAAAATCGTCTTGCTCTCGTAATCTCCACACTTGGTTTAATTTCCTCTGATGATACGATCAAGAAATAAACCTGAAACCTTTTGTCACCTGCGTGGATTCACAGAAAGCGTGAGTTACGAAGTCTGAAGAAAATGTTAAATTGTCTCTGCTGGAATGACAGCTGCACCATAACCCAAGTGGTTATAGCATTGCTGGCCTCAAGCCAAGGCCCCTGGTTCGAGTCCTGGTGGTAACAGTCGATTTTTTCTTCCGACCTTACCTGTTTTTTTTAAATCTTTTCCCTCAAATCAGTGAATCTTTTTTTGTTCACTTTTTCTACTTTCAGGAAAGTACGTTGTGGCAGCATTTCTCAAATCCATTGCCTCACGATTTGGGTGGCCGTCCACGCTACTGGAAGATGTAGAGCAGCGCTTGGCTGCAGTATGGCTGAATAGAAGAAAGAAGAACTTGGAGGACGGCGATTTCATCACCCCGGCTGAGTTTGTATCAATACTGGCCTCCCGGAACAAAGAAGTATGGGACAGAATCTTCCCGCCTCTGGCCGCTGATGCATTGGAAGCACAGGTGAAGTCACAGCTGCACGGCTTTGCTGAGGACTGTGGGCTAACGAACTACGCTGAACTCGCCCTTCCTACTGTCGCCGATCGTGAGTTGGTCACCGCATACCTAGAAGCCTGCCCATCAAGGGAGGAATAGACAAAAGCAATAATAGATCCACGTTTGCTGTGGTCAGGCACGACCCATGCTATCCGCTTGTCAGAGAGTGGTAAACGATTAAAAATTGAAAGATTCACTGGATGTACGGCTAGGTTGTAAGTGTTCAAGCATTCTTTGCATACTAGTATTGAGGTAGTGGTACATGTATATCAGCATTTGAAATTGCTTTAAAATCTCGATTTCTCAATGTAAAATGAATAGAATTTTGTGTCCTAATTTCTTTACCTATAGAAACACATTGCCACTCACTTGCACCTCAGAATCTCAATTATTCTTTTATGTGGAAACTTTCTTTCGATACTTACTAACCTACATTTTCAGCTTCACACTTTCCTTCGTTACAACGGTTTCTTTTCAATATGAATGAACATTGCTCTTCATAGATTTAATTTGTGTGAATGGTATGCGAGCCATCATTAGCTGCACTTCACGTAAAGAGATCCCGATGGAGTGATTTTTGTTCTTTCCCACTATACACACTAGGCGTTAATGGATATTGTGTTCTTGTTGGCCTGAGCTGTGGGGACTTTGCTCGGCATGCCGTCTTTCTCGAGACATGTAAAACCTAGTTCACATTCGACGGAACGCTGACGGTACGGGACGTAAGGGCTTGACGGGAAGGCTGGGGCGAGCTGTAAAATGTTGTACGATTCGTACGAAACGACGTGCTGCAGTCGTTGCGTCGTTCAACAGCAAACGGCGTCAGTCATAAGGCACGGTCCGTGACTGTGTGCCTGTTGGACCTAATTTCTTGTTTTCTGGGACTTCTTTTCAATTATTCCTCTTTGAATGAAGCGGAATCATGTTCACAATACCAGTTTTTCATGAACACCAAAAAATTAGCTTCGAAAGGTGTGCCATTTAAATAATAGCTCCAAGAAATGATAAAACAGTTCGTCAGTCACGCTCCTGAACTATCCCTAAATGCCGTAAGTGACATCAGACCTTATCTTGCTAAAATTCGACCCAAGTTGTGTTAGCCATTCTGCGAGTTATCATGGGAAGTGCAGTGTTGGAAATGCTAAAAATTTCTCCAAGTACGAATCGGGAGTAGTCGGCGCACGACGCCGTTTGCTGTTCACACCCAAAATGCAGCTGTTTTGTACACTTGCGTCCCCGTCTACGCCCGTCTACGGTATGAAAAGTTGGATGGATCCAACTCTTCCCGTCGCTTCCCGATCCGTACGACAGTACGGTTGAGTTCCCGTTCCTGGTGTTCACATTGGACGCCGTCAGACTGACCCGTCGCTTCCCGTCGATCCTTACGTCGTGTCCCGTCGCGCCCCGTCGAATGTGAACTAGCCTTAATGCAATGATAATATTTGGCGACTTTTTCTGCACTATTTCTCTCCCCATTTCGTCAGGCCGGAATATACTCATTTCAGGTCGGATTTATCAGCGGTAATCCCTTCCATCCTGTTACTTCATGCATTTTTAGTTCTTTCCCAGTGGCCACAAGCTCCAATCTGGTTGGGTGGTTAGACCGAGTGCACTCGGCCAACGTGAGGTCTCGGAATCATAGTGAACTCGAGGTACAAATATCATGAGAGAAAAAGAGGAGAGGGAGGGGGGGAATTTGAATGCTAGGGAGCACGTATGAATGAAAAGCAAATCACAATGGCTTTCGTGAAAACAAGCATAGAGCCAAATTAACCATTATAAAAAGTAATATTAATTTTAAACACAATGTTTCAGGAACGGAAATGTGCTATTAACGACCTGATAGGTGCTGGACATTTACTGAGAAAAAGCTGCGAAATATGAGAGTGAATGTATATCAGGCACACGTTGTTAACAACCAAGCAACATTAGACTGTGATCTACGCATTTTGAATGTCTCATTAGTATTGGCAGAAATCATAGGTACTTGGAGCGCAATATAGGCAAAATCGGCTTTCTTCCTGTCTGCTGAATAGTTTATGAGGCCGATGTGCACCGACATGCTTGCTAGTTTTCGTGTGTAAACACCCATATGAGATGATACATGAAAACAACCAGGCCAAAAGCACCCACAATGATGCCCAGGACAACGAGGCCAGCACATGTAGGATAGTGGAAAGGTGCTTCTTTTCGTGCCTAGAAACATGAAACGAGAAGGCAGAGAGATAGAAACCGGACTAGTAAAGCACATCTGAATGTTATAACTGTCAAGTAACAGTTTGATAACGTGGGCGTAGTGAAATGATCTAAGACCCTGGTTGAAAAGCAGAGGGTACCAAGGCCAAGTCTGGTTTGGAAGCGGAAGGATGTTTACTGCTGTACAGTGCACCCTACCGCTAAGTGAAAGCTCGTGGCCAGAGACGAGGGATGCAGTTGATGAGATTTTCAGGCTTTGACCACTTTCGAGTGGCTCTGGCATACTCACCTCCCATCCCTGGTCATGGTGGTACTCTAAGAAACTAAACCGGTGGAACTGGGTCTAAGGTTGACCGTGCTGTTTAATGTTTTTGATCCGGTGAGAGAAGTAAAGAAGTTTTTTTACTTTTTTTTTACTGCGCGAAACTGGGATAGAACTCTAAGATCTTTGGGTGAAAATCACTTCCGCGTTCGGTGTGTTATGCTACGCAAAATGTATCACCACCACCCCCCACCCTCCCTGGCTCAGTGGTGGAGAGATCAGCAATAAGAGGCAAAGGACAATTACGAGGAAAGAAAAATGGAAGGCGAAGGCGAAGGCAGAGTACCAGGAGGGCCAGATAGTCTTGTAAACTGTGGCGTCGTTACCATGCAACAGGTGCACAAGCCCCAGGGCAGTATCTTGGGCCATACAATGTTTTTAATTATGTGAATGACGCTGCCGATGATCTTGTTGGCAATGCTAAGCTTGAGGCCTACGTGGATGATACAATACTATACAGTTTAGTGTCTTCAGCTCATTGCCCTCGGAAAGCTGGACAGACCTTGCAGATATCTACACACCGCCTGCATGATGGGGTTGCCAGTGGAAAGTGCCGTTCGATCCCTCAGGCTATGGCTGCTGCCCTCCGACGCACTGACCTAGACCTACCCCAATCCTGTTTGGTGGCACCCCGGTACCAGATGAAACCAGCATATCATTGCTTGGAGTTCGATTTGGCTCCAAATTGCTAGTCACCTCAGGACCGTGACCATCCACGCCCAGCAGCGCCTGGGCTTTCTCGGACGAGCGGCTCACATTCTAACGCCAGCTGACTGAATGATTGTCCACAAGGCATTCGTGAGGCCCCTGATGGAGCATGCCCCGCTTGTGTCGATGGGCGCGCTAGCCAGCCACATTCAACGCCTGGATAATGAGTGTTCAACGCCGCGCACTGCGGATCATTGGCCCTGGAGCAATTCTTCCCAGTTTGGCTGTCCGCTGGACTGTTGCTGCTCTCTCATGCATGTACAAATTGCATTTCATTACTGGTCCTCCTCAGCTACTTGCTGTATTACCCCCGCATCACGTTTCTCCTACCAACCCCAGAACCAGGAACGAGCACAATAATGCCAATTCCCTTGCCTGTATTTCACCTGACGAGAAGGCTTGAAAGTATACTTGTGAAGACAAAGACTTTCAAGATGTTTGTAATGAGCCTGAAGTGTGTCCTTTTTTATGAGTATTATCGCATTTTTGTCTCAGAGGAAACTTATTATTATAAGAGTTGGGTTTGTGAGTAATAGAATATACATAAATAAAAATTAAACCCACTTATGTCAATCAAAATTAAAACAATTACACACGCGCACACGCACACACTCCTTACCGTTGAACCGCCGCATTTCTGATGCAAAACAACAGCAACGGTACAGAAACACAATCAGCCATATGTCTTACATGTAGTTGAACTAGTTTATGACATACGTCAAGGTCCCGGAACTAACTATGAATGTGGAATGATATTTTTTTCATTGGAAAATTGCTTTGTTTGAAAATTGGTAAAGAAATCCTACGAAGCAAATAATCGGGTGCCATTAATGTGATAATAGAGAGTTCACGCTACACGATTTTTTTAAATTTCGAACGTTAGATCTCACTTTGCAACGTAAGATTTCAACACGACAGAGGGCCAATTCACAGTAAAAAGAAGCGGTTCAAAGCACGTTTTTATCACGTTCGAAATTGAACAGCGCGAAGCGCAAACTTTCTACTGAATAATGAAAACGTGAATTTCCCCTTGGGATCAGAATCGAACGAAGAATATACATGACACCAAGGCACGCTCTAAGTGCGCATAGTGCATGTTCGGGAATTTGTAGTGCCAAGCACTGCTGGAACCTTAATGTTAGGGGTATGAAGAGGGTCTATCCATAACTTTTCAATGAAAACAATAAAATAGCGGGAACAGTCACCAGTCAGGTATGTACACAGTTAAGTTTAAAAAAACTCACCAACAGTATCGCCGTGAATTCATCTGCAACAGCTTGAGGTGGCTGGGAATTCCACGACACAATGCCAACCTTCTTCAAATCCTTTTCGCTAAGCATCGTGGCGCTCTCCTCAGTCATCCTCGCTGATCGGCATTTGTCAATGTCCTGGCCAGGTTCCATGAAGCCAATGTCGAAACAAAGGCAAAGAACAGTGTGGTCAAAGTCTGGAAGCCAAACGGCGAGAGAAAACAGCAAATACAAGAGTTTCTTGATAATGTCAAAGGCTGTTTTGTGCCCCTCGAATAGAAGCTCGTTGATTTAAGGTAGCAGACTGGTCTTAAATTTCATATGGCATTCAATTGACCGTAAATTTGGTGTCTCTGTAACCGTCCAACCAGAGCGATCCAGGATCAAGAGTAGAACGACTTTATTATACCATCAACGGGGTTATATGGGACAGAAGTGTAATCCAAGGTGAACATGCAACACAGGTGTGATGTAACACAACGTAAGTGGGAACGTGTAGTAGGATGCACAGTGTGAGTGTGTGAATCTGTTACACCACCCCCCTCGTCAGCAAAGGTGAGCCGGGCTAAACACGAGTAGGTAAGCATTATAATACCAGTAAATCAATATTATCGGTTCGAAAATAATTGCTAACACAAGAGGCAATTCAAGGTATGGTAGGAAGTAAAACTCAACGCAGGAAAGGCGGCTATTGACGACGCTTCGTTTTCAAGTAACTCTGCAGCGGAATAATTTCCTTGTTAGACTCGTCCAATAAATGTTCGATAGGCTCCCAGGTGTTCTCACTGTAGCCACGCCATTGAACTAGATACTCCATGCGGCCCCTCCGTTTCCGTTCATCGACGACCGCGTCTACAATATAACGCGTGTTGCCGTCCAGATCCGTTATTGGTGGCGGAGGCGGCTGTTGCCGTCCTGGTATAGAGTTCTCCTCATACCGCCTCAGAGCTGACACATTAAACACCGGATGACAACGCATATTGGCAGGAAGTAGCAACCGGAAGGCATTGGCACCAACCTTCTCAGTTACAGGAAATGGACCATACCATTTGGAACGCAGCTTAGGGGACGGCTGATTCCGCGCCTCGGGAGTAATGAGGAAATCCCTATAGACCAGAACACGGTCACCAACCTTTATAGTACTGGGGGCACGAGTGTTGTCCGCATACAAGGCCTGCCGCGCCTGAGCCGCTACAATAGCATCCTTAGCAACGCGTAACGCATCCTGTTGCTCCTTCACCCAATCAGAGTGTCCGACTCCCATACGATCACCCAGCAAATCCGCTGGGGCTCGGGGGTGAAACCCAAAATTCAAATAAAATGGGGTATGCGATGTAGAGGAATGGTGGGCACTATTGATGGAGAACTCGCAAAGAGGCAATAGCTTATCCCAATTGTCATGCTTATGGTTAATGAATGCACGGAGGATGTCTTCAACCAGCCTATTCACCCTCTCCGTTAATCCATCTGTTTGGGGATGGTTTGCCGTGCTGAAACAAAGCTTGGTTCCCAGAAGTTGAAACACCTCCCTAAAAAAGGCAGCAGTGAACCGAGGATCTCTATCTGAGACAATGGATGAACTCAAACCATGCAACCGAAAAACGTTAGCTATGTACAATTCAGCACTGCCCTTGGCATCAATGGATGTGGTAGTCGGTACCAAATGAACGCATTTAGTCAGGCGGTCCACAAAGGTATAAATAGCATCATGTCCAGCAGCTGTCCTAGGAAGACCCGTAATAAAATCCATGGCGATATCCTCCCACGGGCCTTTGGGTATTGGTAATGACTGCAGCAGGCCCGTGCGCAGCCTCCCCGGTTTAGTTCGCTGGCAAATATCGCAAGACTTCACGAAACGTTTGACATCGAGTCCCATTTTCGGCCAATAGAAAAATTTTGCCAAGCGTGAATACGTGCGGTCACGCCCTGGGTGACCTGCCGTCACGCAGTCATGGTTCTCCTGTACCAATTTCAGCCGTAGGGTACACCTCGGTATGCATAAACGGTTGCTAGGAGACGCCTTCAAGTAGAGGAACCCGGAGTCGTTGTCGATGAAGTACTGACTGTGCACATTGTCACTGTCGGGGCGCTTCATTCGTTCCATAACTACACTCAGCTCAGGGTCCACGGCATAACTGTCCAGTATCATGTTGGCTATATCGTCATTGACCTCCAAGGTATATTCTATAGCGTTTAGTCGAGCTTCAGGCGGAACCACATGATCTTCGTCCCTTAAGTCCGGGCGGCGTGACAACGGATCCGCCACATTCTCCTTGCCAGGTTTATGGTGAATAGTGTAATCAAAGTCCGCAAGAAATTCAACCCAACGGGACTCCCTTTTCGTGAGATTTGATTTTGTCAGTAAGTAGACTGCTGCTCGGTTGTCTGTGAAAACGTCAAAGTGTTCAAACAAATAAATGCGCCACATCCGGAGGGCGGACACAACTGCTAACGTTTCTCGTTCCGACGCTGTGTAGTTCCGCTCCGCCGAGGAAAGCTTTCGACTGCCGTACGCCACTGGCAACCAACAACCAGGTTCCCCCTCCTGCGAGAGCACCCCCGCGATTGCAAAATCGCTAGCATCAGTTTCAACTCGGAAAGGTTTTGATACGTCTGGAAGTCTCAAAATAGGGGGATTTAGCAGTGCCCTTCGCAACTCCTCGAATGCTGCCTGGGCCTCACCAGTCCATGAGAACCTGGTGTATTTACCCGTTAGCTCCTCCAAGGGCTTGGAAATATATGAATAGTGTCTAATAAAGCGACGGAAGTAATTGGTAAACCCGAGAAATTGTCTCACGTCTTTCACCGTACATGGGGTGGGCCAATCACGAACTGCAGCCAACTTCTCCGGATCAGGGCTAATCGAGGAACCGGTCAAACGGTGACCCAAGAATAGAATTTCTTCCACCGCAAACTCGCATTTCGGTAACTTGCAGAATAGTTGGTTAGCGCGGAGGGTAGTCAGAACGGTTCGAATGTGCTCAACGTGCTCTTCCAGGGTTTTGCTAAAAATCAGAATGTCATCCAGGAACACTACCACGAATTGGCGCAAGTACGGCTGCAGAATGGAGTTCATCAGTGATTGGAAGGTTGCCGGGGCATTAGTCAGACCAAACCCCATGACCCTGAACTGGTAGTGGCCAAACGGGGTGTTAATTGCCGTTTTCGGCACATCCTCCTGTTGTATCCTGATTTGGTTGTATCCTGCGCGAAGATCAAGCTTCGAGAAATATGCACTGCCCTGCACTGTGTCGAATAGGTCCTCAATGTTAGGGAGGCAGGCCTTATTCTTAATTGTTATTCTATTAAGTTCCCTCCAGTCACACACCATGCGAAGAGATCCATCTGATTTCTTCACAAAGAACACAGGAGCCCCATAGGGCGACTTACTCGGCTCTAAGAAGCCTCTCCGGAGCAGCTCCTCAATCTGCTTCTGGAGCTCGTCTAGCTCCGGCTTCGGAAGGCGGTATGCCGGTCGTGATGGTGGCGCTGTCCCTTCCGCCACCTTTATTTCATGGTCGACCGTTCGCTCTGGCGGTAGTTGGTCAGGGAGCTCGTCCGGAAATAGGTCGTCGAACTCACGTAGCAGAGCGTTCAGCTCACTTCCGAAGTGAGTTCCTTCCTTGTCACGGATAGGTGGTGGATCTTGGCCCGGCGCATCATCCTCCATAGAGACCCAGGCTATATACGCTTCGTCTCCTGAACGAATAGCGGCATTCGCTTGTGCTGCAGAGATGAAGTGGGATTCTGCGAACTAGGCGTCCTCGCCAGCTTCGTGGCCTCGAGCCACGAAGGTGTCCTCCTGGATCTGCACCTTTTTACTCCGGAAGTCGATCGTTGGGTTGTGGCGAGACAGCCACGGCATTCCCAAGATGGCGTCGTAGCGCGCCAGTGGCAGCACGGTGAAGGTCTGGGTTTCGCTGAAGTCAGCTACCACCACTTTTACTGGCCCGGCAGTTTCCAAAGGCTGTGTACGAGACGAGCCATCTGCTAATGTGACCTTCAGCTCCTTGGTCGCCGTGTCAGTCTTCAGGTTATGTCTCCTGACGAACTCCGACGACAAAAAATCGTGGGTAGAGCCAGAGTCTATTAGCATGGTAGCCTTCCTCCCATTCACCTTCCCAGTGACACATAGCAGATCGTGCTCTGCGCTCATCGCCACGCTGCTGATGTGCGCCTTAGGCGTAGCTTCAGAACTCTCCACTGCAGGATCACTTGCGCTGTCTCCTTCCTCAACACTCAGGCCCTCGAACCTATTGAACACAATGAGTGGTGTGGGTGCCTGAGTATCCACCGCCAGTGAGCGCACTCCCTTCTTCACTGGCTGGAAGCGTTTGGGGAATTCACGATGACTGGACAGTTTCTGGCAATATGTCCAGGCTTCCTGCATGAGTAACATATGGGCTCACTCGTACGGTTAGATTGCTGCTGCTGACGTCCCCATGGACTGACAGGTTGCCTCAGTGTACTGGCCTGAGCGTGAGGTGCCGGACCCGGGTGCCTCGACCGACGAATGCCTGTGCCTGTGGTGGTCTGTTCCCTCCATACTCCTGATGCCTGCATGGCTGCCATGCGTGCGGCACGAATGGCCTGGCCTAGTGTTGTCGGGTGCTCCCGAAGAGCCGAGTGACCGATTGCTGCATGCAGGCCCCTCACGAACAGCACCGCCTTCGAATGGTCATTCAGGTCGTTCACCTGAAGGCAGAGGTTAGTGAATTCCTGTACGTATGCGTCCAGGCTGCCGCGCTGCACCAGTCCAAACAGCTTGAGGCGCGCTTCCTCCTGTTCATGGACTGGGCCATACACGTCGCCGAGTGACTGTTTTAGCGTCGGCCAGTCGTGGATGCAGGCGCCGGAATCCAATACCGACATCAGCCAAAGCCTGGCGTTGCCTTGTAGGTAGCTGGCAGCGAATCGCACCTGCTCCTGGTCGTCGTTGACGCGCTGTGACACCATGGCGAGCTCGATAGCGAAGACCCACTCCCTGAAGTCCGCAGGGTTGCCCGAAAACACCGGAGGCCTATTGACTGTCCCATCAAATTTCCTGTCGAGCAGTCGTTGGTCCGTGGGCCGTTGAGGTCCTTGAGGTATATCCGTCGTTGCGGCAGTTTGTACCCGTCGACGCGCTCCGTCCTTGTAGCGGTCATACCGAGCTAACAGAAGGGTGGCCACGCATACCAGCAAACAAAAAATCTCG